TTGTTATAGCTCAAGAAGGCAGGAGTTAATTAAGTCCCTCTTTCGCATATCCTGGCTTATCATGTTTGCACATCAATCTTTGTTTGCATAAGGGAGTTCAGGTCTGTGTGTCTGGTGTCCTGCAGTTTCTCATCTAGGCGTGAAAAAGAGTATCTCTTTGATGAGAACATAGAGCAAGGTCAGTTACCACGGTTACATGTGTTGGGGGGGCAGCTTAGGGTTTCCTGCCTCCTTTTAAGGAGAGTTTTGATGGGCTGTTTGTAATCTCTGGTTAGTTTCTTTGTCATTTTAACAATTCCGGCACTGAGAGGCTTATTTCGGCTGTTGCCAAAGGTGGCCAGTTTTACGAAAGACTGCTCAGGAATAGCACTTAGGGAAAGCGACCTTTCAACCCCCCGTCTTTTGGGGTCTCTTCAGCCGTCTGTTGAAAGTTGATCTCAACCCCCCTCCTCCTTCTCTCTGGGAGAGAAAAGAGGAGTTGAAATAATTCCAAATTATTTAATATAAAATGCACAAATCCACACTGTTGGTCCACTACAAATTTAAGCAATGTCCAAACATTCCATTTTAAATGGATGTTCAAATAAACTATATTTCAGAGGTACAGAGAAATACAGTGCTAATAATCATTTGGTGTTATATTGAATAATTAGAAGTATGTGTATAAATATTGTTGTGTTTGTGTAAATATATGTATTTGAATACAACTTTTGAATATGTATTTTCTTTGATTATAGATTTATTATTTCTGTAGGTTTATTATTTTGTAGCTATTTTATTAAATATGGTAGTACACGTAAATGTATGTAAATAGTGTTTTTTAGAGTTTTATTTTGTTGTTCATTTGTTTTTTTACCACATTTGTTTTCTCATTTTGTTTAATTTACATGTTTGAAAAAGAAATCAATCAATCAATCAAACCATAAACCTTCAGCAGCAAAATTAACTTCTTTCACTCTCTTATTTCAGTTTATTACAGGATGTTTGCAGTGACGCCCCGTATGGAGCCCATAGATGACACAATCCAAAATGCTGATATTGCCATTGAGATTGTGGTATTGTATTTTATCTTTGATATGCACACAATTAAATGTAATATTACATAATCAGATGCACTGGGAGTACAGAAAGTAGCTAGATAATTTAGCAAAATAACAAAAACACACCCAGACCTTCAGGTTTCATTTCTTTCACTAGTGACCTCATACTACTTACTGTAAAAATAAATGTGGACCTCCATCTAGTAGTTTAGTTGCATATTGAATGCAGCCTTTTCATTGTAAGACACAAATAGCAAAAAAAAAGAGTTAATCTAGTTGATGGCCAGGCTCATAGAGAATAGATAAAAAGACGTACCACATGTATAATATAGCATGGGTTTAATAAATTAATTTGTAAACTGCCATGGCTCTGTTAATGGTTGTTTAATACTGTTTACTTTTAGACTCCTGAAGGCATAATTATGCCACTTGATTCAGTCTCTCTGCAACTAGGGCTCCACTCTGGATATTACAGTCTTGCTGAAATTGTCAGGTGACTATTTTATTTTAATTGCATTTCTATACAATCTGTTCTTTAGTGGTGAAATTACATTAATTCAATTCAATACTGAATTCTCAGTACACACATCATACAGATGTTTCAGTTGTGTCAGTACAGGCCAAATGATGACTGAATGAATAAATATTAGTTTATTATTAGCACAACTGGATAGGAAACAAGGGTTCTGGAAAAAGGGTTGTGTCAGTGTAGCCCTGTTTGTGGTATAAATGAATATGAATACACTGGCTGACTGTGTGTGTGACTGTGTTGGTAATATTAAATATGAGTCACACTTACTGCAATTCATCTCAGAGCTAAAGCAAGAGAGCTGTATCTAGTCAAAGCTAGTTGGAAAGATTGTCACATCTAGTCATGGCTAAAGCATTTTAGTTACTTTTACTTACCCAGCTGGATCTGAATTAAATATATACATTTTGATAAACCAACATTTCTTGGTATTTTAGTTTGTTAGCACATAGCTAAATGAGACAGCAGGTGAACAAAAAACAACAAAACTAAACTAGATCTGCTAAAAGGTAAATTATCTTAGCAAAGTAGCAATAACTGCCATCTTTAGCTTTTGACTCTAGTGGAAATCATGCAATTTGGTTTGGTAAGGCTACCTTTAAATTACACATTTTAATTTATCAAAGCAGTTATTTGGCATTTTGGGAAATTGTTTATCGCTTTCTGACAGAGAGTTAGATGACAAGATTGATACAGCTGTCATATCTGTCAATTGAATATAAGGCAACAGCCAGGAGGAGGTTATTTTAGCTTATCTTAACAGCTGGAAACAGGGAGAAATGTCTAGCCTGGCTCTCTTCAAAGGTACGAGAAATACCTAGTCCCAGACAAGAAATAGTCCCTGTAATCTAATAATGCGCCAGCAGAGTTTAAATAATACCCACTAGTCTTTTCACTTTTTGTAAAGAATAAACATGATATAACGGTTTAATGAACATGCTTTTCATAGGGTGGCAGATGGATTTTGTTTTGCAACAGGCCTCTCCCATTTCGAGTCTTTGTGCTAAGCTAACTGGCTGCTGGCTTTATACCAGAGTGGTATGAATCTTTTTTCTAACTCTTTGCTGAAATGTTTCCTATTTTAAAAAAATGTAGAGTAATTTATCTATTAAGATGTAAAGATTTATAGTAAATGGTCAGACAGAGAGATATAACAAAAGAGAAATACATTTAATTGTATAAACTTAAATAATCAGACTAAAAATGCAAAAAATAAAGGTGCAACCATTCTACAGTATTTATTGTGCAGTTTGCCGGCCAACCTTAAAACTTTTCCTTCTTCTAACTTTCTTCTAAACCTCAGATGCTGCTCTCTGTATGACAGTATAAACATCAAGTCCATTGCAGCAGATACTTTGTCCATCCATCCATCCATCGTCAACCGCTTATCCTGCATACAGGGTCGCGAGGCAAATACTTTGTGTAACATATAATTAACTTAAACTTAAAGTCTGATTCCCTGTTTCTAAATGCTGTGAAAAATTACATTTTTTGCTTTATTACTGAAATATGTGTTCTTCTGTGTGCCTGTGTTTAGTCCTGGACTGTGGAAGGTGGTGGCGAAGTTTCACAGCAACTCACAGCAGAGCTATACTGCAGAGTTCGAGGTCAAAGAATATGGTAAGTCCTTCATTAACTGAATTTTTTATTTAAAACCTAGATAAACATTCATTGTCTTTTTACCTGATTGGACACACAAAACAACTCTTATTTTTTCAGTGCTTCCCAGTTTTGAGGTTAAACTGACACCTGCGAGCGCCTTCTTCTACGTGGACGCTGAAGAGCTCACCGTCAACATCAAAGCTACGTAAGTTAAAGATTTTGTTTTGTAGCTTTAGAGACCAAATTTGATAAGTAGAGTGCTTGAAGTAGAAAATAAAGGGTGGTGTTCAGGAATTGTGTTGGTGCTCTTTTTTGTCTATAGGTCATTTGTGTGTTGTTACATTTTGACCATCACGTTTTATTGTCCTTTTTCACTTCATTGTGGGCTTAAACACGTCCTTCTCTGGTGGTTTTAGGTATTTGTTTGGTGAAGAGGTGGATGGGACAGCCTACGTGGTATTTGGGGTTATGCAAGAGGGTCAAAAGAAGAGCTTTCAAAGTTCTCTTCAGAGAGTGCCGGTGAGCACAAACTTTTGCTGAATTTCTGTGTCAGTTTCTGAGTTGATTGGTTATTCTGTCATGTACAGTGTTTTACAGCTTGGCCTTTACCAGCGCTTCAAAATCTGCAAGTCTCCAAAACATTAAACATGTAGGATTTCCTGTTATTCAGACATGCAGTTAATTTAGTTAAATTGTTACATCTCTATCTACAGTTAGTAAGTAAGTATTTAGCATGTTAAGAATAAAGCCAGGCTGATATAATAATAAACCTCCAACTGTTCACTGACTGTATGTCAAGACACATTTTTATATGATGTCACATTAGATCACGAGAGGTAACGGAGTGGCCTCACTGAAGAGAGAGCACATCACACGGACCTTCCCAAAACATCATAAAGCTGGTGGGGAGCTCCATATTTGTAGCTGTCAGTGTGCTGACGGAGAGCGGTAAGAAAGAGAGACTGTGTGTTTGTGTCTGTTCAGGTGTGATTCTTATTCAGCAGCTTAAAGGGGCAAAGTAACTATTGGTATTATTAGTGCCTAAATTTTCCCAAACAAAAACGACAGGTAAAAAAAATATAAAGAAGTCACATCAGGATGTGTTTTTTTTGTATCAGTTAATCAAGAAAAAAGTGAATAAAAAAGGCTCTTGTAATCAGTTTGTGAGAATGTGTTTGTGATTCTGTGTCAACTCGCAGGTGGT